GGGGGAGAAGCAGAGAGAGAGGAAGACACAGAATCCGAAACAGGCTCCAGGCTCCGAGCTGTCAGCACAGAGCCGGATGCGGGGCTTGAACCCACGAACCGTGAGTTCATGACCTGAGCCAAAGTCAGATGCTTAACTGACTGAGCCACCCAGGCGCCCCTTAACTTTTCTTTATTTTGGTCTTTTCATCTGTCAAATGGGGATAATAATGGCACCAACCGACGGGTTGTTTAGAAAAGCTCCGTTGTTACTGTCCTAGCATGTTATCGGCAACACTGGCAGGGAATTCATGTACTGATCTCCTACTTGGTACCAACCTCAATGAATATGGAGACAGAAATTGCCTGGGAGCGATGGGCAGGGTCCTGGGGGCAAGGAACTTAAAAAGAGAGAAGTATTGAATAGTAAGACCTTTCGTCCTTGGACAGCTTTGTTTCTGAAGCACTTTTGCATACATGTGTCCCAATTTAGTCATCTCCTCCCAGCCAGATTTGCTAACAAGCACATCCCTAGGCAGAACTATTCCTTACCAGCCTGGGGCTGATATTTGTGCCTAGACAGGTTGTCCATGTGTGTGCCCAGACGGATGCAGGGGCAGCAGGTTGGCATGAATTCCGGGCTACTAGCTGGGCAGAAATGAGCAGATTGACAGGCATGAATGAGGGGGTAGGAGAATGTCTTTGGTGTCATTTCCATTGTGAAAACCAGAGAACGGATGCCTTTATTCAAAAATCTGGCTTTGGAGAAGTTAAGCTGCAAGGAGAGATGTTTTGTCTATTTTTGTTTATTTCTAAAATTGTGACTGGAACATAGTAGGTGCTCAGGAAATATTTGCTGACCGAGTAATGAAAGGAAGTTGGCCTTCCTTGCTGTGTTGTCACTGAAAATTCTGGTTTCCACATAAGGGGCAGTGTGCTGCATAGGCTGCCGGAGGGCGGCTGTTCATGGTTCCCTTACCAGTCTCTCCTGACAGGGCGAAGTACACATTTTTAAGCTACTTTTGCTCTGACTGATACACTTGGCTGCCTAACAAAAAGCCAGAGGAGAACTAAAATTTTTAGCATCATTCAAAATGCTTGCCATTCTTCTTGCTTTGCGAAATTGTGAGCCAGTTATTTAGAGTTCATATAAAGGTCAGAACTTGATCTGCAGGAAGGAGGTTCCCCTTGGTTTATGCGAGGGGGGACTTTTCCCCCCTTCTGTTTATTTTACCCAAACGCTTCTGTTTTTCTCCCAAGCTAAAATCTGGCATTTGTTGTAGAAAGTTTCTCAGCTTATGTGTTTTTTTTTTTTTTTTTTTTTAAAAGAGCTCATGTGTTTAGCTTTGGTTGTGATTCTCAGTGATTTTTCTGCTGCCTAAGAGTTGATTTTCTGCTCCTTGAAAGGCCGGCTCTTAAAGTGGGAGCCCGAAGTTCACTTTCAGTTTTAGAGGGAACTTAAAAACCATTTCCCTAGGCCTTTTAAGTGCCTCTCCAGCTTGTGTTTCCTTCTGTTTTTAGTTGATACGGGGGGCAGTGTCTCTCAAAATACATGGGGCCCTCTCCCTACCCCTCCACCCAGTTTGTGGTGTGAGATTGAGTCCCCCTTGGTCCTTCATGTGTAATTCTTTTGTGGGGAGGAGGGTGGAGAAGGCCCTTGACCCCTGGCATTGTTGCGGCCCCTCCCCTGGGGAAATGGAGGTCTCTTTCCCTAAGGGCTGGGTTCATTCAGAAAGTGGGAAGGGTTGGAACTCTGGGGGGCAGGTACGAATGGGCTGAACACGAGGTGGAGACTGGGCTGAGGCCCAGAGACATTTTTGGCTGCAGGGTCAGTCCACTGCGGCCCAGGCGGCTACCCGGGCTTTGCCTGGTCGGGCAAGGTGGCTTGAGCCCTTCCTGCTCCACTGGGATCCTCAGAATGTTTTCCTTCACCTCAAGGGGTGGAGGATAAACCCTACCAGTCAGCCAGTTTAAAGGAGGAGGTGAGGGGCACCTGGGTGGCTCAGTCGGTTGAGCATCCGACTTC